GAAATCTTGAGCTATATCTCCCTTTGGGGATGCTCAAAGGGTGACTAAGCGAAAGCTGAACATCCGGGCTCTCTTTTGAGGGAAAAACATAACGTTGTGTTCGATTTCTTTTCTAAAACTTTATTTCTGTTTTGAATATCTCGCGATCTTACAAACACTTAGTGTGTTTTGACGTAACAAGTGGTATCAGAGCCACAATTTTTTTTTAAAAAAAGAAATTTTTTCGAACAATTTTTTATTAAATGGTTCTTGGGGTCACAGATCTGATTTTCTGAAAAATCGTCTTTTTGCTGTTCTTGAAAGCTGAATTTTTTAATTTTCTTTTGACTCACTTTTAACTCGTTATTAACTCATTGTAACTCGGTTCTAACCCTGTTTGATCTATTGTTTCTATACTGAGTTGTAGCGAAGTTGAGTTGACTCGGTTCGGGTTGTGGTGAGTTCCTGATTCACTACTGAGTTCTGGTGACTCGTTAGCTTCTTAAACCTACATTTTCCTCCTTGTTCTGGTTCTGTCACTTACTCTTTGTTCTCTTTATTCTGAAACATTGTGTTTCTCAGACTCTGGCATTTTTTGAAAAACCCCCTTCTATTAAATTGTATTTGTAATCTGTTTAGTGCTGGTCATTAAGGTAATTAATCCTCCACTGCTTACCTTTGTCCAAGATCCTCTACGAGGATCTGGGAATCTGAGGAAGTAGTGGGTTGTAAGGATTTTCACCCCTTAGACCCCTCTTAGATTCTTTCTTTTGGCTCTCTGAATTGAACTGTTTATTGCATGATAAGTAGATGCAATTATAATTTTCTGCCTCATTCATTCTGTCACTTTTGTTCATTCAATAAGATATTTGAATCAATATACTCTGTGTGCTGTATAAATTTTTTGATTGTGTACATAATCTGTCATCATGTCCACGTCTCAAAAATTTGAAGTTGAGAGATGGAATGGTTCTGGAGACTTCAGTCTTTGGCGCCAAAAACTGAGAGCACTATTGCTGCAGCAGAGATGTGCTGCAGCCATTGATGGAAATTGGCTTGCAGAAACTAGTGCCTATAGGAGACAGGAATTAGATGACACTGCATGGAGCACAATTTTCTTGCACTTGTCTGATAATGTAATTAGGAAAGTTGGAGAGACAACATCTGCTCAGGCTCTCTGGACTAAGTTAGGTACATTATCTCTAACTAGAACCATGCCTAATAAATGCTACCTTCTAAGGCAATTTTACAATTTCAGATTTGACCTAACCTCAAATCTGGAAGAAAATCTTGACAGATTCACAAAATTGATTCAGGACTTAACAAATTGTGAAGAAGAAATTTCTAATGACCAACAAGCTGTGGCGTTGTTAAATTCACTAAGTGATAAATATAGATACATTAGAAATGCATTAGAGTATGGGGGGCAGGAACTTACTATTGATAAAATAACTTCAGCCTTGAGAAACAGAGAACTTGAAATAAAATCTGAGTCTAAAAACTCTAGGTATGGTGAAGGGTTATTCATAAAGGAGAGACATAATCAAAATAAGAAACAATAACCCTTAAATCAAAACTCTAATAAGAAAGGGAAACCTCAATTTTCCAGATTTAAAGAAAAGAATAAGAATCAATGGAAGACTAAAAACCAGATCAGGAAATGTTATTACTGTGGTAAAAGTGGCCATGTAATAAAAGATTGCTTCAAGAAAATCTCAGATATGAAAGATAAGCCTAACTCTGAGGGATCTGCAGCTGTTGCCTGCAGAGATGAATCTGATACTTTTCAAACCTTTAAACATTGGAAATTAATGATTGAAAACCAAACAAATAAGAAAATCAAGGTTTTAAGGACTGATAATGGTCTTGAGTTTTGCAACTCTGAATTTGACCTGTTTTGTAAAGATAATGGAATCTTAAGACACAGAACTGTAACATACACTCCTCAGCAAAATGGTGTTGCTGAGAGAATGAATAAATACTTATTGGAAAAGGTGAGATGTATGTTGTACAGTTCTGGTCTTCCTAAGTTCTTTTGGGGAGAGGCCCTAAAAACAGCAACTTATCTAATAAATAGAAGTCCATCAAGTGCTATTGATTTTCAAGTCCCTGAAAAGATATGGTCAGGAAAAATTCCTGATTATAGTAAACTAAAAGTTTTTGGGTGCACTGCTTATTCACATCAGAGTGAAGAAAAACTAGAACCCAGGTCCTTAAAGTGTGTTTTTCTAGGTTATGGAGAGGAAACAAAAGGGTATAAACTGTGGGTTAGAGAGCAAAATGATTTTAAAGTCATAATTAGTAGAAATGTCATTTTCAATGAAAATGACATGCCTTGTGCGAAATCAACCGATCTTAAAACTTCAGAATCTGCACAAATAAAAGAAACCATCCTGGAAAACAAAAATGATGAATTTGAAAATCCAGATGGTCTAACTGAGGTGGAGACCTCTCAGTCTGAGGAAACCCTTGATCAAAATGACACTGAAACTGAGGAGGAGTCTTCAGATCCCACACTTGCAGATTATCAGTTAACCAAGGATAGAGAAAGGAGAAACATAAGACCTTCAATCAGATTTAATAATGAGGAATTTGTTACCTTCTTCTCTGGTCTGGACTTATTAAATTCTAAACCTTCTTCATTTGATGAAGCAAATAAATGTCCAGATTCTAAGTTCTGGAAAGAGGCCATGAATGAAGAAATGAACTCCCTCATCAAAAATAAAACTTGGTTATTGGTTGAAAGGCCTAAGAACCAAAAGGTAATTGACTACAAGTGGATTTTTAAAATTAAACAAGGAGACTCTAACTTACAAGATAAAAGATACAAGGCCAGATTAGTGGCCAAGGGTTTTACTCAAAAGGAGGGGGTAGATTACAATGAAATTTTTTCCCCAGTGGCAAAATATACATCTATAAGAATAGTGTTGGCACTAACTGCTCATTTTGATTGGGAATTAGATCAACTGGATGTTAAAACTGCTTTTCTTAATGGAGATCTAAATGAAACCATATACATGAATCAACCTCCGGGATTTGAAGTAAAGTCAAAGATCAACAAGGTTTGTTTGTTGAAGAAGTCCATGTATGGACTAAAATAGGCTCCCAGGCAATGGTATATAAAATTTAACTCCTATGTGCAGACTTTGGGTTTTGTCAAAAGCAATTATGATTCCTGTTTTTTCTATAAAGGTTCAGGTGGACCTGAATCCATTTATCTGTTATTATATGTTGATGACATGTTGCTTGCTTGTCATGATAGATCTGAAATCAATTTCATTAAATCAAAATTAAAATCTGAATTTGAAATGAAAGACTTAGGACAAGCAAAAAGGATTTTTGGAATGGAAATAGAAAGAGATAGGAATAATTGCATGTTATTGTTGAAACAAGGCACTTATGTGAAGAAAATACTTGAAAAGTTTGCAATGTTTGAATGTAAACCTGTTACCTTACCCCTTGCTAATCATTTTAAACTGTCAAGTGAAAATTCACCTAAAACAAATGATGAATTTATAAGAATGGAAAAGATTCAGTATTCTAATGCTGTAGGATCAATAATGTACCTTATGGTCTGTACCAGACCTGACTTAGCTCATGGCATTAGTACCTTGAGTAGGTTTATGTCAAATCTAGATGAAACACACTAGTTAGCCATGAAGTGGATGATAAGATACTTAAAGGGAAATTCTGATTTGGGTTTAATGTTTAAAAGAAGCAATGAAGGAGTAGTGTTAAAAGGTTACACAGATTCTGACTTTACTGGTGATTTAGATAGAAGAAGATCAACATCTTTATATGTTTTCACTTTGTGTGATGGTTGCATTAGTTGGAAATCACAACTGCAAAAATTAGTTGCACTTTCTTCTACAGAAGTTGAATATATTGCTGCATGTGATGCAGTAAAAGAAAGTCTTTGGCTTAGGGGTTTATTAAATGAAATGGGTTTTGGAAATAATACTGTTAAGATTTATACTGATAACCAAAGTGCCACACACCTGAGCAAAAATCCTGTATACCACGATAGGACTAAACATATAGATATAAAATTTCACTTTGTGAGAAATGTGGTAGAAAAGGGTTTGATTGAATTGGTTAAAGTTCCTATAGAATTCAACTCATCAGATTTAGGAACCAAAGTGTTACCCCTGAATAAATTCAAAAATTGCTTGAAGATTTTGAATATTACATGAAGGTGTAACATTGTAAACTTCAAGTGTTTATATTGAAATTTTTTGAACTAATATTTTCTTTGTTTTTGCAGGTACTGAGAGCAAATGAATCAAAATGTGAGATGAAACTTGAGATTCACTAATTAAAGTCAAGAAATAGTTCAGCAAGGTGGACGTTGTTAGTAATAATGGGGTGCTTCACTATTCCTTGATGGGCCAAAACAAAAAGGAAACCCACCAAATGGACTTGGACCATTATCGTTTTCGGGTTGATAAAAACGTGCCTTAGTGAAATGCGATTTTATGCCTCTTATGGGAGGGGATCTGCCGTCAACGTGGCTTAATCCCAACCCTTGGATGTGGTAGTTGACTGATCAGATATTTATCTTGATTTTGACTCTCATTCTGGATCCTTCGATCATTCTGTCCTTTCGCCTCTTCCATCTTCTCTGAGTAAGAGACTAGGGTTTCGGTTTTTTACTTTGAATACTGAAAATGTTCTTCGTGATCTTCTCAATCTGTATACTTTGTGATATTTTAGATTGTTGTGTACGATCTGTGAGTGATTGAGAGTCTTGTAGTTAGTTTTTAAAGGAGGCGAAAGGAATATCGAAGAAACTTGGTTCCTTCGTACATCTGTACTAATTCTTGGTGATTTTCTTAGGGAAATCTTGAGCTATATCTCCCTTTGGGGATGCTCAACGGGTGACTAAGCGAAAGCTGAACATGCTCTCTTTTGAGGGCAAAAACATATCGTTGTGTTTGATTTCTTTTCTGAAACTTTATTTCTGTTTTGAATAGCTCGCGATCTTACAAACACTTATGGTGTTTTGACGTAACAAATTGTAATTGAATCAAAGACATTGAATTTCTCCAAATTGAGAAATTCATTCTTGTGTTCCTTTGTCATTTTTTTTTCACCTTACAATAGTAATAGAGGCTTGCCAATGAACATGTTTATTTTGACGGAGAGGGAAGAAACCCAAATAAAGTAAGTGGGTTAATTCCAATGCAAAACAAATTGAGCATAATAAAGCAAACCGAAGGAGAATGGATAGAGGAAAAACACTAATAAGCAAGTCCAAAGAGGATAAGTTGTGCACGAGTATGCCAGAATCCCTACTATTGCGCAAACGACCAAAACTGTTAGAACTTCAGCTGAATAATTCCAGGTCAAATCCTTCGCATACACAATTGCTAACAGTGTTGTCAAATTTGAGATGTTACTCATTACAACTCCACCATAAATCTGCAAGTCAAATCAATCAAATAAGTGATCGAGCACGCATGAGGGGCGTGTTGAAAACTAAATTTAAATAAATAAATGTGATGGGCTTGTTCAATGGAGATGAAGACATACCTCGGAAAATGTTAAAGAAACAGCCCTTTCACTCTTGTGACTGGCCGTTGAGATTGCTGCTATTGCCGCTCGTGCATTCATGGCTAACGGCACTATCACAAACGAGATGCCGAAAGAAGGTACATTCATGGAATTCGATAACTGTAGGATACTGACAATGAGAGGTCCTCCTGTGCAGGTCAATATAACAATACCCAGCAACACTTGTAATACAGATTTGATAATAGTCCATACTAATGACTTTCCATGTACAATTTTTTTCTCCACAATCTGCATTTCAAAGGTTAAAAAAGGAAAGACATGATTTTGTAATTGGAAAAAGGGAACCGCCTGAAGAATAAAAGTTTCATGGATAGGATCTGTAATACTTACCTTGTCATATTCATCAATAATGTTTGCCTTGTCCGAGGAATTAGCAGCATGGATGGCTTTATCAACCCATTTTTTTAGTCCATCGACGAATTCTGGTTCATTAATTGTGTTATTGCCATCTTTATCAAAGTCGTTAAACAACTCCTTTACGACATCCTCATAATTCGGCTGAAATTCTCCGAATTTGACTGTACGGATTAATTGCTCTAGTTCAGGTTTTGATAGCACGTTGTTATTGTCCAAGTCAAATTGCTTGAATATACTGCCAGAAAAGTAAGATTGTGAGGAAATACTGCCAGCATAGAAATTACGTAAGACGAACAAAAGAACACACAAACAGGTAAAGTAAGAAATTATTTACTTCTTTATTCCATCTATATTCGGGTTTCCATCCTCTGTCATGAGTGATTCTGCTTGAAGTAATCTGGTTTCAGCATGCATTAAAATTTTCGACATTACTCTATCAATCTCCTCTGGATTATTTTCATTCTTCTGACTAATGAGCTGGAAGGTCCGCACAACAACTCAAATCAATAAATATAAAAGATTCAATTTGCTAAAAATATATAAATTTATTCATGACAAATAGAGAATGTTTCTTGTGTTAGCACCAAGAAATATAAAATTGCAATGAAGAGGTTCTTGCCTCGCGAGTAATCTCTCTTGAAAATGAATTGCCACTTTTGGTCAACCGTTTGGTTTCAGTTATCCATTTTGTGCAACCATTGACGAATTCTTGATAGTTGATTTTCTCATCATGGTTAGAATCAAATACTTTCATCACTTCAGTAACAGCAAATTGTTTGTCAACATTCACTTCCCCTGTCTTGATCATTTCAAGCATCAACCTTTCCATTTCTCCCTTCGTAATAGATTTGTTTGCATCTTTATCTGTTTCAGAAAATAAACTGCAAAATCCAGTACATAGAATTAGCATTGAATTTGATAAACATATAGAACTAATTCACAAATAATATTTTTCAAAAGTTACTTTCTGATGACAGGAAGGTTGAGTTTTCCATCTTCATCGATGAGCTCTCCATGTTGTTGCATGTGCTGCAGAAAACCTGTTCTTAGTAGCTCATACTTTGAATAGTCTAAGCTTCTTTGATGAATCCAAGGATTCATAACCTGAAAAATGAATTAGAAAATTAAAAATATTATTTAATTATATATCAAACCAGGCAAACAGGTTAGCAATGTATCAATTGTGCCACCTGGTAGGCAAAATATAACAGCAGCGATGCGGATGATACAATGAGTGCTATCAAAATAACTACGTGGCTTCCAAACATTGTTTTGAAGATATCGGCTAGTTGCACTATAATGTAAGGAATCAAAGACAGAAGCATAATCCCAGCTGTATAACGAGTCTCTTTGTCGATTTTAACACCGGTATCTACAGTTAATAAAGAATCGTCAGCTCTTATACACAAATATAAAGCTCAAATGACTTATGCGAAAGAGTTAGACCCTTTAAATCGGAGACTACTTCTTTCGCTAGCAAACAAGTTGACGTAGTTGAAGCTTCTTCAGTATGACCAGATATCGACTCCTTTTGCGACTTTCTCCTGCCAAAAATTAAGCATATACCCCACTGCAGCGTAAGAGTAAAGACAGTGATTCCAGCATAAATACCAACTCCAAGTGACACTGTAGATTGAGCATCGTCTTTGCTACTGAGAATTCCAGATACTGCAAGTGGGGAAAAAACGTACTTTGTTCAAAGGCATGAATATAAAAAAACATCCAAAAAATTAATATTCCTATCATTTTTAACCACAGTCTCAATACGAACATTGAAATTGTTGCCAAAGAGTTAATGAACAAGAAAGGTGAAACAAGTGATCAGGAAGTGAACTATACCAATCATCATCAACATTGCTGGTAATCCCACCAGGAATCGGAAAATAATGCCCACAGTTCTGCCAGTACCAAGAATATTAAATAGGAACTTTGTCCCTGTGCTCAGCTGTTTTTCTCCAAAACTAAGTAGACCTTGATAGATCACTATTTCAAAAATGTAGCCTCCGGCATTTTCTGCACAGGGTAGGAAGCCATATTGGTGCTGGCAAGTCTTTGCAGAGGCAATAGAAACATTTGCACTATGAAAAGAAGATTGCTTGTCAAGATGATCAATTCCATCTGAAATCAAATCATCGGAAGAATTGAGTCTTAGCATTCGACATTGAACAAAGCTGATAAAAAATATAAGCACAATAAAGCGCAATCCTAGGACAGCCATTGTTGGAGAATCGGGGAATGAAAAAACCCAACCTATTGAAATATAAGGAGGAGAATGGGAAACTTGAATAGAAAAGTCTGCACCAGCAGAATAATTAATTTGAAACTTATATTAATGTTAATAACACGCGAGTGCACAAAGCCATGGCCTTTTTATGAAATCAAACCTTTCAACAATATAAAAGTTGCAAATTGTAATAAATAATTATGCAATCATATGGCTGCTTTCTATTTTCTATTCAAGAAAATGCAAGTTTAGTTTGATTAATGTCTATCTTGTAGAGTCGCTATTGCCGGCCAGGCTGATGCTTACTGCATGACATTATGCGAGTAATATTTAATAACGTACTTAAAATATTTCTTTTATAAGATACATTTGAATACACTTCCATATGGTGGAGACTGTAAGAAACCAAAGAAAGAGACAGGAAATTGTACTCCCAGCATGTTGAAATTTTTCGGGTAATTCCATTTGTATATTAGAGTTGTACACTCTAGTATACAGCCGTCCCCCATGCAAGGGGTTGTACACTAGAGTGTTGCAGCTTCCAAATTTTCAAGTCTGAGTAGCTCAAAAGGTGAAATGCACGGACTAGATGTCAAGGCTGACGGCCTACATGGGCTGTGCAGGCATGTATTTGAAAGAAAGGACACAAAAAATTATGCAAGAGATAAAGTCAATTAGAATGACGGTAAAGGAAGGCTTTGTCTGTTGTCTCAGCCCTGCCCAAATCGGGATATGCAGACCAGTGTCGTCACCTGGGCCGGCTTACACCTGTATTCCTACCACTAGCGGATCCAGGGTGACAGATGAGCACGGGCGATGAGAGATGAGCACAAGTGGCCACTTTGAGAGTGACATTCTAACGGTTGCTCAATATAAGGAGAAAAAAATTTCAAAGGAGCGAGCATGGACGGCAACTAGTGCTTGCTAGTGATTCGTACCACAAGCTGCCCTTGCTGTGCATCTTTTTCGTTTATTTAATAATAATGTTATTTATGCAGATTCATGACAATGATAATATTCATTGACATGCAACCATGGAAAACTAGTATAAACCTTAAAATTTTCAAAAACAATAACTTCATTCAGCTGCATCTATCCTGGGTCCCCTCTGTCCTTTTTTTTATTCCTCAAATAATAAATTATTATTTTTTGTTCAGAAGAAAATTATACAATTCCCTTTTAAAATGTGTTTTCAAAAACAAGCAACACGTTTTTTAGGAAGTGGGAAAACGATTTTTTTAATGGCTGTCAACGTGGCACACGTCCATTGGCTTATTTGCCTTCACCAGGATCTGTGTTAGTTACCTCTAATCC